TTATATATATATATATATATATATATATATATATATATATATATATATATATATATATATATATATATATATATATATATATATATATATATATATATATATATATATATATATATATATATATATATATATATATATATATATAGACATATATAGACATATATAGACATATATATAAACATATATATAATAAACACTTAAAATTACTAATATTATTATATATATTATATATATATTATATATATATATATATATTATTTTTATTTATTTTTTTTTTTTGGTTTATTTATTTATTTATTTTTTTTGTTTTTGTAGTGATTTCCAAGCTATAATTGTCACATTCCTTGAAAGTATTTCACATATTCCTAGAAACCTTCCTTTCAACATGACATTTTAGCACCCTCTAGTGGCATAAATCAAACATTACATAAAAAATAACTCCTAGTCAACACAGAAATCCAAATGAATAAACCAAAAGCTCAGTTTTCAAAACCTTTCAGCCCAAAATAAGGTAACACCTCAGTTTAAGTCATATTTTACGATATTAACAAACCATTAACTAACACTACTAGCTTAATAAACTCTTAATTAGCTGTTTATTAATAGTTGGTAAGGTAGAAGTAGCTGGGTTTAGGGTAGGATTAGAGATGCAGAATAAGATCATACTTTATAACTACTAATAAACACTTCATATCTTAATAATAAGCCAGTAGTTAACAGCATGAATTGTGACCTAAACTAAAGTGTTACTCAATTTAGAAGCATTTTCCACCAATGAAAGCACTTTTCTGTTGTGAACCGTTCAGATCTGGGATCAGATGTAGAAGTGTGTGTGTAATGTGGTGGTAATTGTTTTACCGTGGGAATAGCTGATGCCCGGGCTGAGGGAGGGGCTTGTAAGCTGGTCTTTATTGGGCGTGTGTAGCCCCGCCTCCTTCCCTTTCTGACTCATTTTGGCCGGGGTCAGAAAAGCCGCATCGTCACTGGGCATTAAGGCAACTGCAGAAAAACAACAACAGCAAAGAAGATGAAAACAAATGCATATGTGTTTAAATGTTTACTTATAAAACAATCAGGTTTTATAATTATTAGTAGTAAAATTAATAATTATAAAAAATTAAACTAACTAAATCATGATTTATTATTAATAAATCATGATTTAAAAATTAATTATTATTATTATTATTTCATTTTAAAAAATTAATTGTATTAATAGTGCTGAGCAATAATTACTCACGATTAATCACATCCAAAATAAAATGTGTTTTGACATAACTTAAGTGTGTGTACTATGTATGTTTATTATTACACACACATGCATGCATTATTTCACACATACATGCACATACTTGTCAAAATGTTTATTTATATTTATATATACAGTATTTATGTATACAATGCAAATTAAATATACATTTACCAAGAAATATCTTAGAAACAAAATACTTGTTTCTATGCATGTGTGTGTATCACATATATAATACACACATATACAATTGAAGTCAGAATTATTAGCCCCCTTTGATTTTTTTTCTTTTTAAAATATTTCGAAAAAATATATAGTTTAAAGGGGCTAAAAATATTGACCTTAAAATGGTGCTTAAAAAATTGAAAACTGCTTTTATTCTAGCCGAAATAAAACAATTAAGACTTTCTTCAGAAGAAAAAATATTATCAGACATACTGTGAAAATTTCCTGAATCTGTTCAACATCATTTGGCAAATATTTAAAAAAGAAAACAAATTCAAAGGGGACTAATAATTCTGTTAATGTATTTTCTATTTTAAAACCACATATTGAACGCAGTTTGGATTCATGCTTGTAAAATAGTCCGAATTTTGATTTGAGATATTAAAAATACAAAAGTACAACAACAACAAAGTCATATTTTTGCTCTCCTGTTTGTAAACTTGAACACATATTGCACTTATCATTGTCCACTGCTCCCTCTAGTGGTGTAACAACATAACTAAAAGCATACGATTAATACAAAGCATTGAACTGATACTGTTTATCTGCACTACCACCGACTAAATCTTCAGCATTAGAAGCGTACCGCTCTGCGATGAGCTTAACCAAAGCACCACTGATGATGTGTTTGTGCAGAACAGTAAATGCATGTTTAAATCTGCACAAGATTGACCCGCAGTGTAAAACATGTTGATCCACCTTTCGGGGGAATATTTGCATGTGTTATATATGCACACGAACACACATGCACACACATATATATGCACACATAGATCTACTATGCATGCACGCTGACATGCACACACATGCATACACACACACACACATAGGTGCACAAAAACAAACATGCACTTACACATGCATGCACACACTCATATATATATATACACATGCAAGCAAACAAACATGAACGCACACACAAGTACACAATCATGCATGCGCGCACACACACACACACATGCACACACTTATATATGCACACATGCATGCACACACACTTTATTGTAATGGAAACACAACTAAGGCAGAAGCAGAGCTGAATCACTTTATGCTAATCCTCCATTAGAGATGCAGATCTGAATATTTTACCATCATCATCGCTGAGGCTGAGAACACACTAATTACTAATGAGCCAATTAACCAGACAGCCCTGCTAGACGTGATCAGATTCTACATTTATCATCATCTACAGACAGACCATGCTACATGCGTATCCGCAAGAGTCTTAGTCATCTGTGAATTTAAATAATGCATTTAAACACACTGTAGGAGCAGAAATGTCAGTAGCAGAATGTAATAAGCACGCTGAGATGAAAGAGTGTGTGAGCATTTTTGCTGTGCTGAATGTTGCGAGTGTTTATAAAGTCACCGGCGCTCCTGCTGCTCTCAGACGTGAACAGAATGAGCAACTGAGGCGTTTTAACAGACAAAAGGTCAAACTATAGGCCCAAAACTAGCATAGTATAGTACTTTATTGAAAATACGATACATATTTTCATTAATGCCTTATTCTGTCAGTTTATTTTGTATTAATAGATAACGCCTGCACATCACTTCCTGAATGAAATATCCATTATACAGAAGCCATTTGACTATATCAAATACTACACTCTGAAAGAGCGGGAAGCATTCAACCCAAGCTCATTCTGGAAACGTAGCCCCGCGGACGTTTCCCCGCGATTTACGTGGCGGGAGGTACGTATGGCCGCGTTTAGTTTTTCTCGAGCGAACGCTGCGGGGCGGTGTGGCGCCTCTCCGCTCCTCCTCTTCGCGCTCGCTGGCTCGCCTCCGTGTGGAGGGCTTTCCCGCTGCAACCAGTTTGTCCGCTTAGCTCGCAGCGTTACGTCGGCGGAGCGGAGGCCCGGAGGAGGAGGAGCCGGCCGCGGGGATGACCGGGATCGGGTCCGGGGAAAAGCGGTTCCAGAAATCAGGTAAGATGAAAAACAGAATCCAAAAAATAAGGGCGAGAACGAGGCAGGATCAGAAAACGCGGTCGAAATCAAAGACGAGGGCTTTTGTTTTGTTTTTTTATGGACGGCTTTTGCAAACCGTCGCTTGGGTTTAGGGAAGAAGGAGGAGGAGGAAGAGGAGGGCGGTCGGGTTGGTCGATCATACAGTCGTTTAGCCAGCCAGTCGGACGGACGGTCGCTCCACAGCGGCCTCCGGCGGCTTTTCACGCGAGAACAGCGCGGGCGCGAACCGAGAGGCGCTCGAGATGCGAAAAAGCGCGCACAGCGGCCTCTCGCAGATCCACGAAAACAAAAACTGCTCGAATACGTACCTCCCGGGACGTATTACGCGGTCAGCAGAAACGACCGCGGGGCTACGTTTCCACAATGAGACTGGGTTGGAAGCATTTATTGTTGGCTCCTGTGTCTATTAAATCTGTTAAAAAAGATTTAAAACAAGTCTATTAAAATCTATTAAAACAGTGTGTACTGCATCCCATTCTCTTCATAGTCCATAGTTATATACATGAAACAATTCTGTCTGGTTTTCGATCTCTGATTGGCTGAAAGCCGAGCAATATTCTGCAAATAACAGCCCTCATATGGCCTCTTCACCCTTGTGTACTACTCCGCCGACATACAGCAACAAGCAGAGGACACTCTACACTTTGACAAATATTGCTGCTGTTGGGCAACATCATGTACTTTTAATGCTTTTTAGGTGAGAATGTAGTTGGTTAGATCGCAACTATGCAGTTTATTTAAGTATGATGCCTATTTTAAAATATTTCAAGAGTTCACACTTAGCTGATGATTGATTATAAAGCTTGTTTGGCATGCTGCCCTGAGAGAGCCCTAAGCTCATAAGATCCTTGAGCCCGGGGACCCCCCCCCCCCCCCCCCCCCCATTTGCAGGGTGAGAGGGGAGTTTGAGTTTAGGTAGATCTGGAGTACTCTACTGCTGTAGTAGCTAATGAACAGACAGTGATTGCCCTTAAGAGATAACTACTTATTAGGAGCATGTCTATGATGCGGATTTGGATTAGTCGGTTATCTTAAGTTGCAGGTTTTTGGACGTGGGATGAAACCGGGGAACTCAGGGGAAACCCACATGAGCACTGGGAGAACTCTGCACAGAAACATTGGCTGGCCTAGTAAGGACTAGAACAGGTGACGTTCTTGCTATGAGGTAACAGTACTAACCACTGAACCACCGTGCCACCAATCTAGGAAAGAAGGAGGAGAAGGGGGGGATTCTTCAAAATGAAGATGGCTGTGGTATTGAACTTAGGGTAATTATTGTGACATAGCAATCGTCTGATTGGTGAATCATGAATTGGGTAATGAATAACCACCTGTGGTCAGTCGTAAGCATGTGATCCTCTCAAAATTAGTTTAGGAATAAAATTCAATTATTATTTCTGAGAGAGCGCGTCGGTGGCCATTAGCCTGTCGTATTTTGAGTTGGTCAATCTATGTATAACTCCGAGCTACTCTTTGGTTGGGCATCTGTTTATTTCTAATGTGTCTCCTGTTTTCGCTACTGCAGACGAGTTCAGTAAAAAGAAAGAAAGGAGAAATGCCCGCATGTGTTTAGTGTTTTTCCTTATCCCAAACACAACAGTAATCTGGTGATGTTGGCTTTGCTCTGGCTTTTTTCTGGGGATAATAATTGTGATATTCCGATTGTAACAGAGAAATACTGGGAAATCTCTGTAGACTGATGACATTTCATGCAGTTCAGCCTTATAATCCTTAAATCACCTGCTTTGTCATCACTTTAGACATTACGCTAAAGAATCATTCAAACACTAGCTCTACAGTAAAGTTAGTGATTTAGTATTGGTTTCTGCTGTTTTGACGTCAACTGCAGATGTGCACGAATGGCGGAAGAAAGTAGTTCCTCATACAAAAGGGTTTTTGAGACTCTGTGTTTGGTTTTCGTTTTTGTATACACGATTATGCAGTCAAACTGTTGTATAAACGCAATAGCACACGAGTAGCAGTGCGATATGGCTGCATATCGTCACTAGTGGGATACTAAGGCACTCGCACGTACGCCTCCCACCAGTGCCGATATACAGCCATATCGCACTGCTGCTCGTGTGATATTACTCATATATACATATAAACATACA